ATACAGTCTATGCTTTCTTGTTTCTTGGCACGTCTCACAATCTTTTCTGGAATACTGAACATTTTAGATAATAAATGGCAGCAACATTGGATTCTGGGCCTCTCCCCTTTCCACGAGGTGGTGGTGGTGCTGCTGCTGGGTTGGTTGGTTGATTTTTAATTTCTTTAGTATCCTGCCTGGACTAATTTGGGAGCCTCTCTTTCCCCTTCAATGTGTGGCCACTGATGTCTCTGCTAAATATTTAAAAAATTCATTTTCTACATATAAGCCTGGCATCCTATGGCTTTCCTCTGGATCGTACAGCTTAGCCAATGATTGGGCAGAGATTGTACTGAAGTATCTTGAACCAGCTTCCCCTTTACTCTGTAAATGAGCGTACAGATCACTGTGTATATGGATTGGAGAAGGCAGTCACAGTCCAGGCCGCTTCTACGTTGGCCCTGGCTTTTACCTTCTGCCTCACAGTCAGCCAGGGATGAGCACACGGCTTGGGCCTTCCCTTTGCACTGCCTTCAGGACCACCAAGGACACGTGAGAGCTTCATCAGGGTTCACTCTGTCTCTTTGAATTTCCTTATTAAATTTCTGACTGAACTGTTGCTTGTGCCCACCAGTATCACAGCCTCTGGCAGCTGCAATGTTTGTTTTCCCCAACCGTTTGCCACTGAGATCGTCACTGTTTGTGACAAACATTCCTTGGGTATTCCTTCCCCTGCAGTCAAGTCAACCCCTTCCCAGGTCAGCAGAGCGTAAACCATCACCACGGAGTGGGGAAAATGACACCAACCCCACGCCTCAACTTCACCAACTCCCACTGCTCTTAGTTTATTGTGTCAGCACTTCTCGTCCCTTTTTATTATTATTATTTTAATTGATTAAGTGCTTTGCAAATGCTGTCTACCTTTGGTCAGTTTCCAGAGTGCTGAAATGGTTGTTTTTATTATCCAGTTTTACTCTATTTCTTTGGGAGAAGATGTGCCAAACTCCTCCACCCACAGTCCTGAAAGCTCATGTATGTTACTTAAATTTTTCTACTAGACACATTGAAAGAGGTAACAAACAGAAAAAAACAAGCTTTAATAATACATTTTTATCTAACCCAACATATCAAAACTATTCTCATGTCAATGTTGTAAAATGGTAGTGTTAGCAGCATCAGAACCTGTTGAATTAAGGGGGCCATAAAGAGCAGGATGAACACCAACCAACGCCCTTGATGTGGAGGTGTGTGCCCTCTACCCTCTGAAGTCCTGACCAGTTCTGACACCAGCCGTTCCTCCCACGACCCTCTGTACTTCTCTTCTGGGTTTGATAACCCATTATAATGGCCCCACAGAACTCACAGACCATACTAACAACTAAGTGGTTTATTAACAAGTGGTACATTTGGGAACTGGATCAACAGGCTACAGCTCAGAACCACAGGCATGTAGGCAGTCTCCCTCCTTCAGTGCAGGACAGCTTTCTCCGCCGCTCTCAACCGTGCAGCCCTCTTCTTGGCTCCCTGAGCACAAGCCTCTTCTTGCCCTGGGCCCCTTCCAGGCCTGCTGCTGCTGGCTCTGCCACTCTGGGCTTCTCACTGTCCTCAGGATGACAGCCCTTGTCCTGTTACTGCCTCTCACTATGCTGCTCCTCTCTTCTTTCTTTTTTCAGTTCATGCTACTTCTCTTCCTGCTTCTTAACGTGGAAACAGCTCAGGAGTTGGTTGCTTATACACACAACGCCTTGTCAATTTCAAGGCAGAGCCCCTCCCAATTGGGGGTGTGTGCAAGGGCTGACCAATCCCCTCTCAGTAGACCATAGATACTTCATTTGCATGGTTTGTAGTCACTTTACTTGCATGATCTACTGACCAATCCCTGAAAGTATAAACAAATCACAGGGCAGGTTGCAGCCCAGAACTAGACAAAAAGTATTAAACCAAGTTGTTCACAACTTACCCAGGAAAAGTCAATCAACCTGGACAAAAGTAACAACGTCTCTGGGGTAGAACACTGGGGCAAAGCGAACTCCTTGGAGCTCTGGGAGAAAATCTCTCAAACCGTTTTTCCCAAGAACGGAGGCCAAAGGCCACACAAAAGAACTCACTTTACCACAAACTTGTCATCAGTGTTTTAAAAATTCCCAATGGAATATTTTACCTTCTTTTGCTTTCCTACCAAGTTTTTGAAGCCCAGACGCATCTTTTACACCTACACCCAAAGATCCCCTGCTGTCCGGTTGACTCCAATGTGTCTAGTAGAAAAACCCACAGGACAGAGCAGAACAGCCCCACAACTTCCCCCAGGCTGTGGACCTTCACCGAAACAGACTGTCCCATCTGTGGACCAGCTGGTTCAAGCCACCGACTTTTTGGTTGGCAGATGAGCACTTTAACCACTGACCTTAACCAGGACTCCTACAGCACATCTCAAATTGGACCAACCATATCCAAGCGCACCATTCATGGCTACCGGCTACCGTACTGAGCACACATGGATGGCCATCGCTGTTCAAAAATCATTTTTCTAGTGTGCAAACCCCTTGCCATAAGGTAAGGTGGACTCATAGCAACTCTATGGGGCAGAATGGAACTGCCCCACAGGGTTTCCAAGGCTGCGAATGGAAGGAAACAGACCGCCCCATCTTTCTCCCGCGGAGCAGCTGGTTGGTTTGAAGCCCCAACTCTTCAGCTGGCGGCCCAGTGCTTAACTACTGCGCCACCAGGGCGCCTTCGTGGGTGGGTAGCATTGTCGTTGTCAGAATCGACTGGACAGCAGCTACTAACAAGAATCCTTCATTCCTGAATGTTTAGGGATGAGGTAACGACAGTCTGAACACGGAGCCACTGTCATCTAAGGGGCAGTGGCGGGCAGGGAGGTCACCACGAGCGGCACGGGCCACGGAGGGCTGCCAGACGCGCCCTCTGCACTTCGGTGGCCACTGAAGGCGCTCTGGTGGCGCTGCGCCTAAGGCGTGTGACCGCGAGGCCGAAGGCCGGCGATTCAAACCCTCCAGCCACTCCCGGAAGGAAGACGGGGCCATCTACTTCCGCAGAGATACCCTCGGAAACCCAAAGGGGTCGCCGTGAGTGGGATGCACTCGGTGGCAGGGACTTCCGTTCTCTTGGTTTGAGGTGGCGCTTGTGTTTGGGCCAACGGAAAGGGCCTTCACCCCTCATGAGGCTCGAGGCCCAGGGGGCGTCCCTTTAGGGAGGTTGAGCTTCGGGATTGGAAACCGGTCGGACGGACGCGGGGCCTGGCTGTGCCTCGGCGTCCGCGGTCCCACCAAGGCCCCTCGCGGGCCTTGACCTGGACTTTCTTTCGATTGGAAGGAGGCATAATTACCAGACCGTCCAACGTCCCGTTCTAAGCGAGCAGTCGGTGTGCCCAGGCAGACCCTGCGAGCCCTGGCCGCGGGATGCGCCCGGACCAGTGGAGCTTAGGCTCCTGACCTCCGGCCCCCAATGGCGCGGAACCTCCATCGCGGGCCTCACCGCCGCTAGGCGCCGTTTCCCGGGGAAGCATTTCCCGCAACACCGCGGGCTGCCCGGACCTCCCTAGTGGAGGTACCTTCCGGCGGCCGCGGCTTCCGGCAGCCCCGGCGCAGAGACATGGGCCGGGTGTCAGTCTGGCGGCGGCCCCGGCGCGATACGGGTGGTTAGCGGCGGGGGAGCGATCCCGGGCGGTGACACAGGCCTGGAGCGGCGGGCAAGTGGGTACCGGGGCGGCGGAGGGCGGGCTTGGCGAGGGGACCGCAGCAGCAGCGATTCTCACGGAGCCCTCGTCGCACCAGCGGGTCTGGGGTTCCGAGCGCGGACCCTGTCGCAGGTCAGCGCCGCCTCAGAGAGGCGAGGGGCTCAGCGAGGGAGCTCGCACTGGGCCCCCGAGGGGCGTCTGCATTCCGGGCTGGGGCCTGCCTGCCAGCCCAGTTCCCGGTTGAGCCACCCCCAGCTTCCCCGGCGAGGTCATCGGGAGGCAGACGTCTTGCAGGCTTGAACCTGTTTGCATCACCAGTTCTACTCGGGCTGCCTGCCAGCGGCCCGCAGCTCGGGCATTGCAGTCCCCTGCCGCCCCAGGGGTCAGAGCCCTGACCCAAGATGGCTCCCTTTGGTGCAGGAAGGAGATCCAACTTGTTAGCTAGCCTTGGGTGGCGTCCTTGCAGAGGACGTGGGAGGCTTGGACGATTTCTCCCTGTAATTGTATTATCCCCAAAAAAGCCAGACAAGCAGTTGGGCCTTGATCGATTACTAATGAACGACCCTATTCTGTTGCCGAGAGCCCCTGTGGAAAGAAGCCTTGCTCACCATCCGGTTGGTACTGTGACCGGATCTTGGCCACCAGTTATTAAGACACTTCATAGAGTGGGATGGTTCCCACGGAGCTGATGGGCTGGGCACACAAAAACTCTGCCCAAGAGTCTGTCTTGGGCCACCAGAGCGTGGGTGTGAAGCCTTCCTGTAAGGAGGGCTGCAGCCACACACCCACAACACCTTCCTCACCCACCAAGATGGCCTTAGATCACCACTCTTGTAACACTCGTGTGCACAACCTCCTGACCCCCCCCCCCAACAAGTGCACAGAGCGGCCAGGCAGCCGACTGGTCCCTACGGCAGGCCGGGAGCACAGGCCAAGCCCCAGGCATCACCACCACAGGGGTTCCTGTGGGATGGAGGTCCTGAGACACTTCCGGGTCGGGCCCCATTTGTGGTTCTAGTTCAAAGCCAGGCCTCGGCTAGGCCACTGTGGTTTCTTTAACCCCACATTTCAGTCTTACAGGGTACATGTGTTTGTTACACACTGGAGGGGCAAGTGACTTGCCAAGGCCCTCCAGCAGTGACCGCACTAGGGTTTTAGCCCACAGCTACAATACTGCCCACCCTGTGGCCCAGCAGTCTCCCCATCAGTAGGCACCACCTTCAATCATGTCTCTGAATCTTAGCTCCTGTTGGGTGCGGCCCCACTGGGCCCTTGGTGGGTGTGTCTGAGGGTCTGGCCCCTCCCTTCCTGCAGGGTGGACACAATGCCCAAACTTCAGGGCTTTGAGTTCTGGAGCCGCACTCTTGGGGGAGCGCGCCACGTGGTGGCCCCCATGGTAGACCAGAGTGAGCTGGCCTGGAGGCTGCTAAGCCGGCGCCACGGGGCGCAGCTCTGCTACACGCCCATGCTGCACGCCCAGGTGTTCGTGCGCGATGCCAACTACCGCAAGGAGAACCTGTACTGCGAGGTGTGCCCCGAGGACCGACCCCTCATCGTGCAGGTGGGCCTGGGGGACCAGCCCTGTGGGTGGGACCCCCAGCCTGCCTCAAACTGGATTGGAGGGTGGTGGGGCTGGGCCGCAGCGGGGCTGGCCCGTGGGAGGTCTGTGGTCACTGGGTGTACCTGGAGCCGGCAGAGGTCGTCTGCTCCCAGCGCCGCACCCACTGCCGTGGCTGCCCCTGGGCCTGCAGCCCCTTCAGCCCCTTGCTGCTTGCTGTCCTCCCCAGTTCTGTGCCAACGACCCGGAGGTGTTCGTGCAGGCGGCTCTTCTGGCTCAGAACTTCTGTGACGCCATCGACCTGAACCTGGGCTGCCCACAGATGATCGCCAAGAGGGGTGAGTGTGTGCCAGGAGCCTGCCCAGCGCCCAGGCGATGGTGCGCGGCACGACTGCAGCCGAGCTGGTGGACCCTCAGGTGAGGGCCACGCCCCTGCCCACTGGATGTCATCAAATCCCCCAGACAAGCGTGGCTTCTGAGAGCGAGCCTTCCCGCGGGGCTCGCCCGTGCTCCTCTGGTGTCCACTTCAGCGCCCCGAGTGTGCCAGTGCCCCTGTGGGCACAGCCCAGCCTGTGGCAGTCCAGTGCCTGGCCAGATGTGCCTCTGGGGTAGACGGTGGCCCCGGGATGGTCGGGCCTCACCAGGCAGATCCAGGAGGCAGGCACCTCGGGCAGCTTCCCTCATGTCAGGGAGAAAGGGGTGTTGTGTCCCCCACCCCAGGAGTCGGTGTACTGGATGCCTCTAGCAGACTCCGTCTCTCCAGGTGCGAGTGCACTGTCAGCCACCGGAACCGCCCTCGCACCTAGCTCTCCCTGGCTGCCACTCAGCTCTTCTCTGAACCTTTGACCTCGTGGGGCTTCGGGCCTCAGCTTGCACTGTGACTCAGTAGCCTTGCTCAGGTGGCCACCTGGAAGGCACCACAGCAGCTGGCCCTGCCCTGAGCACAGTGCACTAGTGGGTCCAGCTGGCTGACTGGCAGAACTGAGAGGAGCTGGGGGAGGAGCTCCTGGCCTGTGCGAGCCCTGGAGGGCCAGTGGCGCAGTGGTTTCACCTGCCTGCCCTGAGCCGTAGCCAGTGGGCTCTGCTTGCTCTCCACAGGCCACTATGGCGCCTTCTTGCAGGAGGAGTGGGACCTGCTCCAGCGAATGAGTGAGTTGCCCTGTGTGGCCACAGTGCTGGTCGGGGCTGCGCCTGTCAGGAAAGGGACCGGGCCTGGGGCTCAGCAGAGGGGTGGGGCCTCATGGCCGAGTGTCTCCTCCCACAGGGAAGGTGCTGTGGAAGAGGTCACAGCTGCCCTTTAGAGTCGTGGCCCTGCCCACAGGGACTGCCGCAGGGGGAGGCTGGCACTGACCCCTGTGGTCGTGGACTCGGGAGACCAGGGGAAAAGTGCTGTCAGACACCCTGCTTCCCTGCTGCCCCTCAGAGGTTCCTCTCCGTGTCCCCAGTTCTGCTGGCCCATGAGAAGCTCTCTGTTCCAGTCACGTGCAAAATCCGTGTCTTCCCAGAAATTGACAAGACTGTTCAGTATGCCCAGATGCTGGAAAAAGCTGGCTGCCAGGTGAGAGGCTGGGGCGTGTGGGGTTGGGGGCTCCTGCCGCAGGGGGAACGCCCCTCTGTGCTGAGCGTGTTAGTCACTGCACCCTGGGATCCCTCTGTCAACATCCACCTTGGCCATACCATCCCTCTCCGGGAGGTGTCCTCTTTCCACCCGTCACCAGCCCCAGGTCTAGATGATCCATGATCCCTGCCTTGGGCATGGGGCCCTTCCCCCTGAGGAGGGCAGGACTGGGCCTCTCCCCCCAGGTATGGGATGAGGGCACTGAGCGGGCCCCATGTCCCAGCTGCTGACCGTGCACGGACGCACCAAGGAACAGAAGGGCCCCCTGCCAGGACCTGCGTCCTGGGAACATATCCGGGCTGTGCGGTGAGTGGGGTGGCAGTGCGTGGGCAGGCGCGGGGCTGGGGCCGGGGCTGCTCACGTCTGAGCGCCTGTACGCTCCACAGGAAGGCTGTGAGCATCCCCGTGTTTGCCAACGGGAACATCCAATCCCTGCGGGATGTGGAGCGCTGCCTGCAGGACACAGGGGTGCAGGGCGTCATGAGCGCAGGTGAGGGGGCGCAGGGCGTCAGGAGCGCAGGGCGTCAGTGCAGGTGAGGGGGCATGAGGGCGTTATGAGCGCAGGTGAGGGGCTGTGAGGGCGTTATGAGTGCAGGTAAGGGGGCGCAGGGCGTTATGAGCACAGGTGAGGGGTGCGGGGCATCATGAGCGCAGGTGGGGGGGGCACAAGGGTCATAAGCGCGGGTCGGTGGCGGGAGCTGGTGCCCTGGCTGCCCCAGGCTCAAGGAGTGGCCTTACGAGCCAGGTGGGGGCCCTTGTGTCCCACCCCCCTCAGAGGGCAACCTGCACAACCCTGCCCTGTTCGAGGGCCGCAGTCCTGCTGTATGGGAGCTGGCAGAGGAGTACCTGGATCTAGTGCGGCAGCACCCCTGCCCCCTGTCCTACGTCCGTGCCCACCTCTTCAAACTGTGGCACCACACGTGAGTGGGGGTTCCCAACACCCAGGCCAGCACTGCTGCACCGCCCCCCAGGCCTGTGGGCTGACTCGTCACAGCCCCAGGGGGATTGACAAAGGCCAGGCCGTGGCAGGCGGGGCAGCCCCGTGACAGTGTCTGTCCCAGGCTGCAGGTCCATCAGCAGCTCCGGGAGGAACTTGCCAAGGCAAAGACCCTGGAGGATGTGGCTGCGCTGAGCCAGGCCCTGAGGCTGCAGTGCCAGGCAGGTGCCAGCAGGGGGTGCCGGGCACCACGACGGGTGGGGCTCGGGCCCCAGTCCATGACTGAGGGGCCTGTGGGCTCTTACAGGAGGACATGTCCAGGCAGAAGGAGGGGGAGAAGCCCGCGGGTGGCCTGCCTTTCTTCCACTGGATCTGCCAGCCCTACATCAGGCCAGGGTGAGCCGTCCCCCAGCGAGGGCCTGCCCTAGCTCCCCCTGCCTGTTGAGGTCTGTCCCTCTTCCAGACAGCAAGAGGCTAGGAAGGGCAGATGGGCCACTGCAGGTGGGGTGTCCAGCCACACGCGCTCCACCAGCAGGAGCCAGCCCAGCTCAGCCAGGTGCCGCGTCGACCTCGCTTTTGTCTGGGGACTTGTCGGTTTGAGTCATCTCTGATCCAGGTGCTCTGGCCGCTGGAGTCAACAGCATGGCCCCTCAGCTTCTGCGGGTCCCATGCTCTGTGGCTGCAGCCCCTGCCTCGGTGCTGTTAACTCACTGCGTGGCACCAGGCACCAAGCCCCGGCCTGGCCTTGAGCTGCTCTGGGTACCTGGCAAGCAGCTGGCAGGGTCCGGTGCGCGCAGGCATGCTCAGCTCGGCCCACGCCTTTCCCATCAGGCCCAGGGAGGGAAGCAAGGAGAACGGTGGGACCCGCAGCAAGCGAGCCCTGGAGGAGGATGAGGAGGGCCGCCCCGAGGTCCTGTCCAAGAACAAGCAGAAGAAACAGCTGAGGAACCCCCACAAGCCCTTTGACCCCTCGCTCAAGCGTAAGCTGCCCGCCCAGCCCATCAGGCTGGGGGAGGGGGTGGGCTGAGGCCAGCCCGAGGGGCTGCTTGTCGCGGCCTCGTCTTCCACGTGTTGGTTGTCTGTGATGGTCGGAATCTCCTCGAGTCACTGGGCTGTACAGTGGGGCTTTCCCTGGGCACACACCAGGGTCGGTAGAGGCTGTGGGAAACCTGGGATGTGTGTCTGCAGCAAGGATCCCTGCCCCAGGCATGGTGGGGTTGGGCTCTGGCACCAGAGGAGGTGGTTAGAGCCCAGGGGCCACCTCTCCCCTCCACGAGACCCAGAGCTCTGGCGATGGGCTGTCTCCTGCCTACTGCCACCCAGTTCATCTCTTCCTTGCTGCCCCTGCCTCAGCCTGTCCCCAGCCTGTCCCCTGCCCTCCTGAGCCTCCTGGCCCAGCCTTGGGCAAGGATACCTGGCCACCTCCACCCCCTCGCTCTACCCAACTCCTTTTTCTTCTTTTCCAGCCAAATATGCAAAGTGTGACCAGTGTGGAAACCCCAAGGTGAGTGTGCCCTTCTGGCACTGCTGCCCAGGGGCAGGGTCCCAGGCCACGATGGAGCGCCCCGAGTTCCTGGTCCAGTGGGGAGGCGGCAGGTGATACTCACGCCTGGTACCTGACTGGGTGGGCCCAGCCCCTCACATGTTACCTCCTCCTGGTTCACTCCTTGTGCCCCTCCCGGCTGACCCTGGGGGGGCTGGGGGGTCCAGGACTGCTCCCTGTAGGCAGCCATATTGGGGAGGGTGACATGGACTCAGCAGCCTTCCCGTGTCCAGGGCAACAGGTGCGTGTTTAACCTGTGCCGGGGCTGCTGCAAGAAGAGAGCTTTCAGGGAGTGTGCGGACTGCCCAGGTAAGGGCCACGCGGGTCGTCCTCAGCTGGCAGGAAGGGGAGCCCCAGCTAGGGCCCAGCACAGGCTCACCTCCCTCTACCCCCCAGGTCACGGGCTGCTGTTCAAGACCAAGTTGGAAAAGTCTCTGGCCCGGAAGGGGGACCAGCCCAGGCTGCAGGAGCCACCCCCACCGGGGTCTGGAGGACCAGGTGGCTTCCCTGAAGTCGTGAGCAGTGCCAGGGCTTGAGGCCAGCTGGAGCCTGGATAGGACTGCTGCCGGGACCCAGACGTGGCTCCCCAAGCACACACCTTTACTCAGGGATCCCCTGCTGTGTAACATGGACAGCAGTGTGCCAGCTGCCCGAGCCAGGGCCTTGGGACATCAGTGAGCAGGCCCCAATCTGGCCCTGCCCTGTCCTTCCACCTCTAGAGTCTATTTGGAGTAAACAATAAACCCTGCCCAAGCCCTGTACAGAGCCCAGCGGGTGTGACTGCCCGACGCCCAGGCCAGAGAGCCTCTGGGGGTGGTGTGGGGGTGGGACCTTTGCTCTCTCTCTGGTCCTCCCTCAACCGGTCCAGCTGTATGCTGTCTGGGGCCCCCACTGGGTACTTGTCCTGTGCAGGCAGGCCAGCTCTGAGCCAGTGACTTTGTGGCCCTGGAGGGCACTGCAGAGCCCAAGGGCCATGCTGCCTAGATTCCTCCCACGGGGCACCACACCTGCCCACCAGGAGCTGGACCCATAGATGCCCCACCAAACAAGAAGGGGAGGAGCCAGAGGAGTAGGGAGGGGCGCTTTAATCAGTAACACGCTGCTACAACTCATCTAAACTCCAAATGGCGTAGGAAGGGGATGCACAGCTGGAGGGAGGGAGCGGGCCTCCATGGCACCAGGCTTCACGTGCAGGGGGACAGGAGCCTCACATGTTGGTGCTCATCCGGGACTGGCTGTTGGCAGGCGTGAGCTCCCCCTGGCTTCCTTCTCGCGGAGGAGACTGAGGGAAAGGCGGGGAGGCTGGCTCAGCCTGGGCTCCGCCCCGCCCCACCCCGCCCACATGGGGGGACCGGCCCCGCCCACCTTGACATGGATCTGGTTGCGCAGCACTGCAGCGCGCAGGATCATGGCCTTGGCCCGACGCTGGAACTCCTTGCCCATCAGGAGGGACTTCTCAAAGGTGGTGCTGCGCTGGTCCACGTCCCGCGCATGCAGGATCTGCAGGAATCTGGCCTCAGCCGGGCTGGAGGGCCCGCCCCCAGGGCCAAGGCCCCCTCACCCCTCCACCGCCCACCTTGCTGTGAGAATCGATCCGCGCGTTGATGAGCCCCTCCAAGATCAGTTGGGTCAGCTCGTCCTCCAGCTCGGCCACCGTGGTGTTGAAGGCAGTGGCCATTTTGCGCATGTCTGCCGACACGTAGGGACTGAAATACTGCAAGGCAGAGAAGTCAGCAGCCACGGCCTCCACTGGCTGTGGGGCTGTTTGCAGGGCCTGCCCGCCTGTTCCCTTCTTACCTGGATGAGGGCACGGTTGCGGATCTGGGTATATAGGGTCCTGACGTGGGGAGCAAGGTACATATCCAAGAGGAGGTTGTCCTGGGGTATGAGACCAGTCAGGGTTGGCTGTAGCTGCCGCGTGGCCCCAGGAGCACACACTGTCCTACCCTAGCCCTGTCCTCACCTGCATCTCATCCAGCATCTTGAGACATGAGGCATACTTGGACTCGTAGAACTTGAAGATGATGTCCCGTACCTGGGGCTCCAGCTCCAGGAACAGCTTGAAGGAGCTACAGGGGCCACACAGCTCAGAGCATGTACCCTGTCCTGCCCTGCTGAGCCGAGGACAGGGCACTGGGCTGCAGGGGCCACCAGAGGCAACCTGGCCATCAGTTCCAAGCAGAAGGGACAACAGGGCTGGGAAAGGGCTACCCACCTGCTGGAGATGACGTTGCGCTGAAGCTCCTGGCGGTCAAAGGTGGCCAGGGCACACAGGCCCCCGTAGACAGCCACGTTGCTAGGGGAAAGCAGCTGAGAGCAAGAGGGTGGTCAGTCCAGAAGCAGGAGGGTGATTGGGACAAGTCCCAGAACAAGGGCAGGATCTTGTGTAGCCAGCTCAGAGAGCGCCTACGTGTCCCCCGAGGGGAGACTCCAACCCCCAGAGCCCACCCACACCGCGCAAGGCCCAGCGCAAGGCAAGGCCCAGCCAGGCCCCTCACCTCGGGGAAGTCGCAGTGGTCAAAGGAGGCAAGCAGGAAGCACTTGGCAGCCTGCTTGTACTTCCGGGCAGCCAGCTCGGCCAGGCCTGGGAGCAGAGAGGGCCCCGGGAGAGCGTGAGGGGGCAGCCGGAGTGTCTGTGTGCAGGAGGGGCTCGGTGGCCAGCGGCACCACGTGCCTGGCCCCCATGCCACTCTTCAGCATCAGGGACACTGGGGACAGCAGCAGCACAGCCCCATGACTGAAGGACGCCTTCAGTGAAGCTGTCACCATCACAAAAGGAGCCCAAACCCCTCCACGTGGTCCTGAGGCACACAGGTGTCACCTATACCTACAGACGGCACCACCCCAAGCAGGGACTCTACAGAGCCCGAGCCCCAACCTCCGACCCGGCCCCTCACCTGCGGCACACTTGAGCTTTGTGAGTATGGCCTGGGTCTGGCTGTCCCGCTCCCCACGCTGCTGCAGGGGGAGGTCACACATGGGAGTGAGCAGTGCCCTTCCCACGGCGACCCCCCATCCCAGTCGGAAGGGGGCAGCAGAGCAGGGTCCCGTTACCTCAGCAATCTCAGGGGTGGACTCGGCCTTGCTAACGTAACTCAGCACGTGAGACCAGTTCTGCAGGTAGACGCTGACCTGCCGGGCAGAGCAAGCGGCCTGAGCCCGGAGCCCTCGCCGCCCACAGGCCCGCCTCCGCCAGGGGGCCCACCTTGATAACATTGAGACACATGTTGATGACGTGCTTCGCGCTGGTGCAGTAGTCACGGGCCCGTGAGTAGCACTTGAGGGCGTTGCTGAGGTCCCCGCAGTCAAGGTAGTGGTCCCCCAGGTCATCGTGACCACGCCTGCAAGCCCCTGCGTGAGCCCCCAGCCTCCGGCCGGCAGCCCACCTGCCCACCCGCCTCCCCTGCCGGCCGGCACCTGATGCTCTCCTTGATGGAGTTCCCCTTGTAGTTCTTCAGGTCCGTGTCCAGCTTCTCCAGCTTCAGCAGAGCCTTTTTGCGTGTGGCCTCCACCCAGGCCGCGTCCAGGGGCGGGGGCTCCACACCACTGTCGGGGATGGCGTCAGGGACGTGCTGCATCTCCCTGGGAAGGACTCAGAGGTCACAGCCTGCAGGCACTTCCCACTCGTCCCCTGAACTGCCCCCCGCCCACTGGAAGGGCACCCAGTATGCATCAGGCCCTGTGCTAGCAGGGCCCAGTCCCTGGTGGGGGAGCACTCAGGGAAAGCGTGCCCTGCAGCCTGGCCGAGTGAGAATTCACCGCCACACAACCCTTCTCCGGGAACCAGAGAACTAAGCACATACGTGTGTGTGTGTGCACACCTGCACACATATACGTGCGCTGAACTCTCAGCAGAAAGGTTAGGTGTTGGTTTTTTCTGCATCTGCCCCTTTTCTGACCAGGGTGTGGAGCCATGTCACCTCCAGGTGGGCCCACCAGACACGGCCAGCAGCTGTCTGCTGTCCCCCAGCCACCGGCTCACCTGGTAGCCTCCGACAGCTTGCGGTGGACCTCCTCGTACATGTCCACGTTGAAGGTCCTCTGCACGAAAGACAGGGCCATCTTCAGGGCTTCCACCCGCAGCGGGGGACAGTGGTCAGCAATGAACTGTAGCCGCTCGATACGCATCAGGCCACTGTAGCTGGCTGCATACTGCTCCAGGTCCTGGGGTGCACAGGAGCATAAGGAGGGGGCTCAGACCCAGGACCCGACTGCCCAGATGCTAGGGAGACTTGGGTGGGGGGAGAAGAGGGGTTTCCAAATATCAAGGGGGGTGGGTCAGAAAGACCCGAGCAGGCACTGTCTGAATGGCACAGCCTGAATGCCTCCCACCAGGGGACACCCTGTACTTCCTACCAGGGTGGGGTTCTCCACCACGTAATTAACATCAGGTGCATTCTGGGGGTCCTCCTGGGGGTCCACGTCAATCTGCATGGGCTCCACCGCCCCCTGAAAACACAAGCACCTTGGCAGCTCACGCAGGCAAGGCTGGGGTTGCTGTACAGACCCTCACTGCCTCCCACGAACAGATGCCCTCGGCCCTCACAGGCGCAGTGGCCCCACTCTCACTGCTGCGCCCCTGTACCCTCCACAACCCCCCGGCTCCCAGAGTCTCCGGGCCTCAAGAGGGAAGCCCCAGCCTAATTCCAAGGCAGTTCCACAGGCCACGAGGCTCCCCTACCCAGGCAGGGTCCTGGCATGGTTTCCTCAAAGCCATTAAGAAGCGTGACACCTTAACCCAGGAGGTAAGGGGCCCGGAACGTCCCGGAACGTGTCCCGAGCAGCCGGAGCAGCAGTGCAGGGTGGGGAGCGAACGGTCCCAGCTCGGGGAACCCCACGGCCCGGGTGCCCGCTCCAGAGGCAAGCCGGAGCAAGGCCCGATGCCGCGCCCACAGGAGACCTCGAGCCCCAGCCTGTGCAGCCTAGGGAAGCGCCGTCCGGGCCTGTGCTCGGCGCGGCCTGGGAGGTACCTCGAGGAGCAGAGCACAGGCCGACAGCCCGACGCTCAGGCTGCAGTCCCCCGCTGCGCCCGGCAGGGGTCGGCCCTGCCGCTGGGAGCTGCGGCCGAGCGCGGCCCGAGCTACTTCTCATGCCGTCCTGACTTTCTGCACCCCCGACCCTGACACACAGCTAGCCGGCTGCTGAAGGGAGAATGAGCGCTAGCGGCGGGCACCGAGCGCCCGTCCCCGGGCTGGGCCGGGAGGGGAGGGCAGAGTCGGGCGGGCCCCGGCCCGGAGGCGCAGCCGCCAACGGCACAGTGGCCCGGTCCTAGGCACGGGGGCCACGGCGCAGGGCGGCAGGACGCGCTCAGGCCCGCGGGGCGCACGCTCACCGCGTAGCCCCGGGCACGGCCCGACCCCGCACGATCGGGCCTCCGGAGG